TAAACTAAAATTAACACATTACTTGATGTTCTCCAGATTCAAATTTGGCATTCTAGTATGATCCGGCAGCCTATGAGAAAGTCACAAAGCCTTTACCTGCTAGCAGACATGGGGCTTGTTGGGATTCTCTCAATTTCCAGGACTTTTTCTTAATGCATCAGCAGCATTGGTCTGAGATAGTCGAATTGCTATTCATGCTCTTTAATAAACTGCTTACTTTGCTTCATCATTTATTCAACACCACATGGATTGTTAGATTCACCCCTTCAGGGTGTTGTGATGAATTTGCATCAAAAGCAATTTCACTTTATGGATATATACAAGTTCCCTCAAAATCTGCTGGTATTGGGGACACCTGGGAGGTTCAGTGGTTAGGCCCATCTGCCTTCGGCCCAGGGTGTGATCCTGGAGTCCTGGGATGGAGTCCTATATTGGGCTCCCTGCATGGAGCCTGCTTCTCTCTCTGCCTGTGTCTCTGCCTCTCTCTCTGTGTGTCTCATGAATAAATATATACAATCTTTAAAAAAAAAAGTCTGCCTGTGTAGTGACACTTGTGATGTTCTTCCAAAGAATAGAAGCTAGCTAAATAATTTGTAATATAATATCAAGACAAATGTTTTAGGGGTGCCTGGGTGGCTCAGTGGTTGAGCATCTGCTTTTGGCTCAGGTTGTGATCCTGCGGTCCTGGGGTCCTGGAGTCCTGGGCTTGAGTTCTACATCGGGCTCCCTGCAGGGAGCCTGCTTCTCCTTCTGCCAGTGTCTCTCATGAATAAATAAAGAAAATCTTTTAAAAAATAAGACAAGGACAGCCCGGGTGGCTCAGCGGTTTAGCGCCGCCTTCAGCCCAGGGCAGGATCCTGGAGACCCGGAATTGAGTCCAATGTCAGGCTCCCTGCATAGAGCCTGCTTTTCCCTCTGCCTGTGTCTCTGCCTCTCTCTCTCTGTGTCTCTCATGAATAAATAAATAAAATCTTAAAAAAAAAAGAAGACAAATGTAAAAGTATTACCCATTTTAAAGTTTATAGGACATTGTTTTATAATTAAATGGATAAACTCACAATCTCTCATATAGTATATAGTAAGCAATTCTAGCAATAACTTTTCTGCAACTTTTAATTTTATTCTTTTTTATCTTTTTAAGATTTTATTTATTTATTTGAAAGAGAGAGAGCACAAGCAAGTGGAGGGGCATAGGGAGAAGGAGAAGCAGACTTTCTGCTGAGCAGGGAGCCCTATGTAGGGCTCAATCCCGGGATCCTGGATTGAGTGATTGCCTGAGCCAAAGGCAATCACTTAACCAACTGAGTCGCCCAGGTGCCCCATCTTTTTAAATTCTATATTATCATCAGTTCTTTTTTTTTTTAAGATTTTATTTATTTATTTGAGAGGGAGAGAGAGTGAATGAGAGAGAGAGAGAGAAAGAGAACATGAGCGGGGCTTTGGGGGCAGGGGCTGCAGGGAGGGAGCAGAGGGAAAAGCAGACTCCCTGCTCAGCAGGGAGCCCCATGTGGGGCTCAATCCTGGGACTTAAAGATCATCTCCTGAGAGGAAGGCAGCCACTTAACAAACTGAGCCACCCAGGTGCCCCTCACTAGTTCTTTTTTGAGTGAGGCTGTATACATGGGTAAGTAAAATAGTTTCGGTGATTAAAGCCATTTGAAAGTTTCTATTCTAAACCCTTTGAGTGGATTGTAAATGTTTACCCTCAGTCCTTAAATATTACATAAGAGCATCAAAATAATCAACATCGGAACTCTTTCCAATTTCTCACCTTGCTCATCCAAAGATCTTGGCTACCCGTATCTACTGTAAATGTAGTGCTTATCTATCATGTTTCATCTCAGCCTCCCTGTATGAATACATCAGTACAAATCTGAGGACATATCCCATCATTATATGATCATCTATTTCTTGGCTGGCACAAATGTCACTTTCTCAGAGAGGCTTTCCTAGAACATCCTATTAATCTGTGTGTCACTCTCTGTCCTATTACCCTGTTTTATTTGCTTCGGAGTAATTATCAGTACATGAAATCATCAGTTTGTTACTTTAGAAGATTAGCTGCCTCATGCCTTACTAGCTTATAAATCTTATAAGTCTTACTGGCTTATCCCCAGCTCTTAGATAAAATGCCTACTACATAAATAAGCATAAGATTGGATAAATGAATGAATGAATGCTTCACTCATTCCATGTTGCTGTTCTGGGACCAGATGATTAGATGGTCCATAGAGGCAGAGACTCATTTGAGCTTGATGGCATGTGCCATCTCCAATCAAGTGTCTCTGAGTTGGTCTGATTGGTGAATGTTTCATATAGTTAGAGATGGTGGAAACTGGGTCTGGCCTAAAGTTGTGGGTGATTTCCAAATCAAGGAAGCATGCAGAGCTGACAGGTGAGTGGGGAGCTGCAGTCTGTGGGCTCCTGGTGAGTCATATGATGATGGAGGAGGACCAGGGACAGACACTGTTGAAACTCAATATATGAAGGCAGGAGTCAGTCAGGGAGATGGCAGCAGGGAGCAGGGGAATGAAATAAGCAGGAAGGAAGTGGTGAGCACAGAGAATTATGTGGTGGGGTTATGTATTTTTGTTGTTGTTTAGTCACTTTATTGAGATATCACTTAGATGCCATAAAATTCACCTATTTAAAGTATATAGTTCAATGTTTTTTGTGCATTTGCAGAGTTATGCAATCATCACCTGTCTAATTTTAGGACATTTTTATCATTCCCCAAAGAAATCCTATCCCCATTGGTGTCATTCCTCATTCACCTGGCCTTTTCTCCACCAAGTCCTAGGCCACCACTAACCTACTTCCTGTCTCTATAGATTAGCAGATTCTGGACATTTCACTTAAGTGAGATTATATAATATGTAGTCTTTTGTGATTGGGTTTTCTCTTATTTGGCATAATATTTTCAAGGTTCATCCATAGTGTAGCATGTATGAGTGCTTCATTTCCTTTTCATAGCCAAATAATAATAATATCATCATATAGATATATAAAATTTTATTATCTGTTCATCAATTAATAGACATATGGGTTGTTTTAGCTATTTTGAATAATATTGCTACGAAAATTTGCATACCAGATTTTGTGTGGACGTGTTTCCATTTCTCTTGGGCTTGTATCTAGGAGTAGAATTGCTGGGCTATAGGGTAACTCTATGTTCAACATCTTTGAGGAGCTGCCAAATTGTTTTCCAAAGTGCCTGCACTATTTTGCATTCTCTTGTGGGGCTGTTCTGGTAGATGATTTTAGGAGTTTGTTCTGGGCCCTTGAGCCATCTGAGTATCATGAGAACAAGTGTGTCGTGATTCAGCCTGGATCCTGCTGTTCAACTATGGCTGCACAAACCCCCTGGTCCCTGAGGCCTAACCTGCAGTGATTCTGCACTAATGTAACCCCAGAGGTGTATTGCGATTAGTCAGTCCCTGCAGGTCCTCCATCTGTTCATATATTAGTCATCCTTCAGAGTCCAAGTCAATACTGCCTCCTCTGCTAGCTCAGTGCTTTCAACTCTGACTGCACATCAGAATCTCATGGGGAGCTTTTAAATATAGCAGATCCAGGGTCCACACCAAAGGTTCCGATTTAATTGGTCTGGGATAAGGCCTGGGGGCTAGGGTTATTTAAAAGTCTCTTCCAGACTCCTGCATGGCTCAGTTGGTGGAGCATCCGACTCTTGTTTTCGGCTCAGGTCATGATCTCATGGGCCAGGTGGGACTCCGTGCTCAGTGGGAGTCTGCTTGAGGATTCTCTCCCTCTGCTCCTTCTCCCGCTCCCACCTGAGTGTGCATGATCTCTCTCTCTCTCTCTCTCTCAAATAAATACATAAATCTTAAAAAAAATTAAAAGCCACTTCAGATGATTCTAATGTGCAGACCGAATTGAGAACCACAGCTCTGCTCCCACTAGAAGAATCCTTTCTCTTCTGAAATTTACAGCAGTTTCTTTTCGATGGCACTCACCGAAACTTTAAAAATAGATACCATATTTAATTGCAATTATTTAACATATGTATTTTATTTGTCCAGCTGGGCCACAAGCTCTTTGAGGACAGAGCTGTGTTTGACTCATACTCAAGTCTCCATTTGTCAAGGGACATCTGTTTATAGCACCACCTGGGCTCCCCCTGGTACTATTGAGGAATAATGCATAGGAACCAGCCAGACAACAAGTTCTCATGAAACTTTCCCTGGCCACCCACCTAAACTTGCAGTCTCCACCCCCCGCAATTTCCCATTCTTCCTTCTTTTCTTTTTTTTTTTTTAAAGATTTTATTTATTTATTCATGAGAGACAGAGAGAGAGAGAGAGAGAGAGAGAGGCAGAGACACAGGCAGAGGGAGAAGCAGGCTCCATGCAGGGAGCCCAATGTGGGACTCGATCCAGGAACTCTGGGATCATGCCCTGAGCTGAAGGCAGATGCTCGACTACTAAGCCATCCAGGCATCCCCCATTCTTCCTTCTTTAATTTGCCTTTTTCCCTTGGCACTTAGCACATGCTCTATGTTTCACTTATTATCTTCTTTATTGTCAGTCTCCACCCACTCTCCCTGAGGGGAGGGATTTTTGTCAGTTTGGCTCACTGCTGTACCCTCCGCACTCAGAATAGTGCCTAGCCATAGTGGGTACTCAATAAATATTTATTAAAAGAATAAATAAATAAATCAGCCTATATTTAAAAAGAAATTTAATCCCTTTTTTCTACACCAGTGTGAGAGTTTTGTTTTTTTTTCTAAAAAATTTTTTTTTGAGAGTTGGTTTTTTTTGGGGTAAATACTTTTAGTCATTTATTACAAAGTCTTTCTTATCCAAGGAAAGTTACATTTCTAACATATACATGTACATTCTGAGAGTCTGCAGAAGTTCTACTTAAGCCCTGGATCATGGTGTGTTTGGGTCTATGTATGCAAACTGGAGCAGAGGAACAGGGGCTGGGATGGTCAGTTGAAGCTGAACAAACTTGAACCCTGGCTTGCTCTTGTACCATAGAATCCACCTCCTACGTGTTCCAGAGGACGATGACCACGATGATGGAGGAGGCCAAGAAGAGCAGGTAGAGGCGGAAGAGGAAGGTGTCCATCATATGGCTGAACCGCACCCACAGGCCAGCTAGTTGAGTGCTTGTCAGTCCTGAGTCCCCACTCAGCTCTGCCTCCCTGGGTGCCAGCTCCTTCCCTACCAAGTGCCCCGGATCCTTCGGTCCTGTGGAGAAGACAGAGACTCAGCTTCAAAGTGGGAAAGAGACAGGATTGGGGAGGTGGGGGCCTGAGGAAGCTGGCTCCAGTGTAGAGAGTGTAGGCGGTGCAGACTTTTCTTACCCGGCAGGTGAGGGGGCGTGAGGCCTGGGCCCATATTCTCCTTCCAGAGCTTGGTGGGGCAGCATGTCCTTGGGCTGGCCCAGGAGAGGAGCAGAGAATGGAGCCACCAAGGCATGGCTGGGGGCTGGGTGGTGGCCAGGTGCAGCAGGTAGGTGATGAAGATGGTCTCCAGCAGGCTGACCACCATCAGGGACAGACACAGGGCAAAGTAGACACCTGGGGCGGGGGTATGGAGCATGCATGAGTGGGGCCCAGAAGAAGCAGCAATCCCCCGCTTTTCTCTGTTTCACACACAAAGCCCTTTCTGAAATGACCATGACCACTTTCTCCTTTCTGCCTTAGCTGTGTCAGCAGGTCTAGCCAGCGCACTTGTGTACCCTGCCTCCTTTTATCCCCCCCTACTTTCCAACAGTAAGGAGGTAGGCATACTGATGAGGGGGGTGCCACTAGCAGGAAGTAGTTTATTCATCATGAGCAGGAAGACGTTGTAGCCCAGCAGAAGGGTTATCTTGAATGGGGCACGGTTCTCGCTTTCTGCCGGCAGGTAGAAGCTGAGGGCGTCGATGGCAATCAGGAAGCTACTGGGCACCAGGAGGTTTATGATGTAGAGGTTGGGCCTGTGCCTGATGGCCACCTGGAGGCAGGATAGAGCAGAGAACCAGGTGAAGCTAGGGCTCAGGGAAGACTGAGGGATGATTGCAGCTCCTTTCTCCCTTGGTGTCCTCAACCCAGCAGGGGCTCTTCCTGGGTGAAAAGCAGCCTTCACATGACTAAAAAAAACTCTGCCACACCCACCAAAGAAAACCTATGCCGGAAGTGGCAGTTTCAGACAGGAGGGTGGCTTTGGGGGACCTGGGAGAGAGAAAGGCTGCGAGGGTTGTGGCACCAAGTGGCTTTCTGGTCTTGGGGTACGACGTGAGAGGCTCTGGGATTTAGAAAGATCTGATGAAGAACAGTAAGGGGGACGGACACATCTCACAAATCTCTAGACTTACATAGAACATGATCTGGTCAAAAAGACTGGAGCCCACAGACATCTTCGGCGTGGCCTTGGTGATGCCCAGGAGCTCCCACTCCCCTTGTGTACGGACAATGTCACGTGAAGTGTCTGCTATCTCCCACACTTCCTTTGCCATGCCCAGTAACATGTTTTCCACTGCAGGGGAGATAAACACTCATTCAGCACACTGTTCAGCTTCTGCTCTGTGCAGGGTTCAGAGAGATGAGCAAGAAAACTGCTTTAGCTCCCTGTCTCTGGCTGTCCAGTAACATGGCTCTGTCACTCCTCAGTCGCCTCCTTTCAATTCTGGGCTTTCTCCTCCTAAGTTCAACTCCCCACCACCATCCACACCCCCCCAATTAGCAAATACCCCACTGTCCCTCTCTAGGCATTAAAAAAAATAATAACCTTGTTGTGTGTGATGTTTTGTTGCCCCACCGATTGAGCTCATTTTACCCCCTCCCAGAACCCCCACCCACACCTCACCTGTATAGAGGAAAGAGCTGAAAGTGAGGGTGCAGTTTTGCTGGTCAAAGGGGAAGTAGAAAATGTCCAGGCTACAGATGCTGGTCACCCGCATTGGTTTGTTATATACAATGTGACCGTCACTAGTCACATATGCAGAAAGGCCTTCTGGGGTCTGATCCACATCCATGCTAAGTGGCAGAAGGGGAGAGAGGCAGATGCTCTGGGTTTCATATCAGCTTAGGCAGAGCTTCCCAATGTTGCTCACTGTGGCTCCTCTGCCATCTTTTCTGCCCACCACTTACTCATTTCCAGAATAAATGTCTTCTAGAAATGAGACACTGTTGATGAGCTGTGATAGTGCTCCTCTTGGAAATAAGTTTTTGGTGGCCCCAGTGACTGGGTTTGCCCTGTACTGCCCTGGCTTGCTCCTTGCAGAAGGGTTTCCCCTCCAGTTTTCCCTAGCCCTGGCACTCACGATTCCACGATGAAGATGTCTGGGAGCCACAGGTTCTCAGTTGTCACAGTGAGTTTACTGATAGCTCCACATTCTTCTGGGTCCCAGCTGATGAACGGGTTATTCCAGACCTAGATCACGGAGCACAGGTGGCTGAAACCTGGAGCTAGTTTATGTCAGCATCTACCCTTCCATTCCCTTAAATATATATACATGTGTATGATTTTTTCCCCTAAATGTATTGACTACAGGCATATCATAAACTTTTAACCATTCCAGAAAGGTATAATATAAAAAGCAAGCTATTCCCTCCTTGATTCACTCCAATTCAGTTTATTTTTAAGATTCTGTTTATTTATTCATGAGACACACACACACATACACAGAGAGAGAGAGAGACAGAGACAGAGACACAGGCAGAGGAAGAAGCAGACTCCATGCAAGGAGCCTGACATGGGACTCGATCCCGGGTCTCTAGGATCAGGCCCTAGGCTGAAAGCAGCGCTAAACTGCTGAGCCACCCGGGCTGCCCCCCATCTCAGCTTATAACCTCAACTCAGTCTCCTTATTAACAGTTTCTTGGGTATCTTTCTAGAAAATTAATTAATACATATTCCAGAATTCATTTTTACTTACACAGATAGACTTATACTTTGCACATTGATATTTGTGCATGTCACTTAAAAAAAAACAAACCCTCATTTCCTTTTAGACTCTGATTCCTCTTCTCTACCTGGTGATAATGTTCCCCTTCTCTAGCTAACAGTCTTGTTAGCTTTTCAGTTCCCACTCAAAGGAAATTTTAAGCTGGGTGCTGAATACCTTTGGGCCCTGGAGCTTACCTAGGGGTTTTCAACTATACCACCCCCGTCTTCCTGTATTTTCCATCTATGTCTTTCAAAGTTGTTTGGCAGCTGAGAAAGTGATTTGTCATCAGCATGAGCCTTATTTTGTTTGGATTTGTCTATTCCCTCGGGCACTGCCAATTTCAACAAATGTGATTTTTGCAAACAAGCCCAGAAAAGAGGGGAAAAAAAGGGAAGAGAACTGAGCTGGAGTTACGTACCAACTTTAACCACAGAAATGATGTGAGCAGCTGGAGTTGTTCATCCTGACAAAAAAAAGTCTCCATTCAGGATGATTGGGTGGGGCCGAGATCAGGTCCCATTCTACCTCTTGCCTTTGTTTTCTACGTGGTCCTGTGTGACTGTTCAGCTTTTCAGTTACAAATCTCAAAAGAAAAGTGGGTCCAAAAAATGCAGGTTACATTTAAAATGTAGGGGAAAGGACAGCATGAAGTCCCATTGGAAATATGTTTTATCCACCTATAGGGGCAGAACTCAGGACAAATGTTCCCTGCAGACACATCACTGCAGTGTTCCCCTTCATGTCTCTCCACCCCCTAGGATGGACATCTAACTTGTAGAGCATTTGGGGATGGATTGCTTGCCACTGGACCAGTGCAAGGTTGGGTTGCCAGGGTGAAGACTCCTTGTTCCCTACTAGCAGTCTCTGGAAAGAATGTAGGAGTCAGAACTCACCACTTCCAGGATGGCAGACAAAATGAAGGAGATATTGACTTGAGTGGGGATGCTGTAGTTGATGACGGGACGGAAGTCCTTCTGGTTAAATATAGTCTGGAAGACAGCAGGGTCCACCCCATACTTGTCAAAGCCTGAGCAATTGATGGTGAAAGTGTTTGACCTTCCTGTAGAGAACAGAGACCTATAAGATGGGAATAGGTCTTTTATGTTTCCTAAGTAAGAGGAGTATCAGGGCTGAGGCCTCAGAGCCTCTCCTCAGAGAAAGAAAACGTGGATACGGGGTGAAGCATGTGAACCCCTCCTTTCTGGGCCAAGACTTCTGAAGGCCAAAGTTTTCCTGCCAAGGCTAGGGAGCAGGAGCTGGTCTGGTAGGAAAATGGTGGAAGTTGATGTGGTGAGCTGAACCAGGGCTCAGACCTTTCTTCCTGTGCTTTGCTCCCGTATAAAGCCTATCCAAATTTCTATGCAAACAGTCTCTCTGGGGAGTCCTATTCCTTCCACAGTCCCAACCCTGAAGTTTTGGCTTTGTCTGACCATACTTTTTTTCTTTCTAGCTCTATTATGATTTGTTCTCATAGTCACTGAACAAAATTTCCCTAAAATTTTGTTTCTTAATTTCCCCTTCATGCTTTTATATCTTTCCATTTCCTGGAAAGAAAATTTTGGAAAGAAGTCAACATGAGTGCAATGTGAAACACACAGGGACTTAATGTTGTACTGAATATGAATTTACTGACTGCCCACTATGTGCTGCACTCTGTGCCCTTCCCAAATTCGGTGGCTTCCTCTAAGATCTGTGGGATCCATCTTCATCATTACCATTCTGAGAAGATCTCACTGATCATCTACCATGTGCTTGGTGGAGCCATGCAATGAAACATAGAAGCCCCTTGGCCCCTCTCACCCACATCCCAGCCGCAGATACTCTGTGATTATTCCTGTCAATACAGCCCAGCAAGTTCTTCTGTGCCCCATCCATTACTCCGCCGTACCAGCTAACTCCAAGGTACATCTCCAAACCAAAGAGAAACACATTCCGGGGAAGAAAATGTTGTCCTTTCCCCTCTACATCATCTCCTCTGCAAGATCTTCTGAGTGAGGTAGGAAAGGAGCTATGTTACAGTCAACAGGACCCAAACCACCCTGTTCATAGTAACTGTATCTTGGTAGAAAGGAAAAGTTGGAGACTAAAGAAAGTGGGATTGGAGAGGTGGTGAATAGAAGGATAGACAGGATAGTAGATGCTGAGGCAGACAAATGAGAGAGGGGCCGTGTGTACTGTTCAGTGGAATGGGGTTTTTGTCTGTTTCCAAGGAAGACATAACATAGATACTACAGAGAAATAAAATGTTTAACCTAGCTATTTTAGATGCTCTCTAGGTCTGGAGAATTGAAAGGGTTTATGGATTTTGCCCAGAACAGCGTTTCTGTCTTTCCTTGTTCTTGCCCCATCTTACCTGGAAGCAGAAGGCTGACAGTGAGGCAGAGCAGGAATCCCCCCTCAAAAGGCCACCCCCCTTCCATCCTCCTCTTCTGGACTCTTCTCTGGGGATTCACCATGAGCCCCCAAACCGTTGAGCTTAAAGGAGCTCAGACCACACCTTGGTTCCTGGTTTTGAATAGTGCTCATGACAGGTGACCACTTCCTGGTGAGAGGCTGTGGCCAGAGAATGTTCTGCTTTGCCCCTCTGCAGGTATGCCTTCTGGGCTCCAGGCAGGGAGGATGTTAGGCCAAGACCAGGGGAACAGCATCTGTTTAGCAGCCTTGTCTAGATGAGTGGATCTAAATCTGAATTCCAAGTACTTTTTCAGAGAAAATTGGAGACATGGGAGATTGGGCAGGTAAGGCCGTCAGGTAAGGGGTCTCATCAGGTCCTTCAGGAACTAACTATGCCTCAGAGAAAGTATATGGATCACTCAGAAAGGGAGATGGTAGAGACACCTGCTAATTTCACAAGGCAAGAACACATAATTATTTTGCTGCAGACCTAGAAATGTATCCTTTATCCACTCATGGACATTAGGGATTATTGTCAATAGTGAGTTAAAAATATTGAGAGAATAAGCTCCTTTTTTATGATGAAAGCCTGACTAGCAGACCTCTGCCCCCACAGCTAGCACAGCTAGTGCAGATCTGCAATATCCCTTGTTTGCACTATTAAAACATCTTCATAAGGCTTGTTCTGTCTAGTTTTCTCCCAGTCCAATTCATTTTGCCATTCTCCTAACACAGAACTCTCCTACACGCCCTTCCTTATCTTATGTCTCTTAGAGGCCTACAGACCTGGGGCTGTGGGGGAATGTGTGAATTAAAAATCACAGTGATCTTTTTGAAAATACCTGTCCCTCCCACCCCCAGCCCCTATGGAGGTGTGTGTGTGTGTGTGTGTGTGTGTGTGTGTGTGTGTATGTGTATTTAAAAGCTCCCCAGATGGTTTTGATTCACACTTAACTTCATTGAAAACCTTTGGGCTAGGCTATGTTACCATACCACAAACAGGATACTGAAACTGATATAGTCAAGATACATAACTTTAACACCAGGATCCCTATGTTGTCCTTTTATAGCTGTAAATACCTCCCTTCCTCCCTAATCTCCTGCTGTCTGGCAGCCATTCATTTGTTCTCCATTTCTATAATTTTGTCATTTCAAGAATGTTACGTAAGTCAAACCATGCAGTATAAACTTTTTGAGAATGGCTTTTTTTTCACCGAGTGTAATTCTTTGGAGATCCACCAAGATGGCTGTGTGTATCAGTATGCGTTCCTTTGTATTGCTGATTAGTATTCCATGATAGGAATGTACCACAGTTTGTTCAACCACTCACCTGTTGAGTGGTTCAATTGTTCAACCAATTGAAGGACTTCTGAGTTTTAAGGGAAAACACTTATTTCCTCTACTTTACTTACAACACTTAAAAAATATATATTTATTTATTTGAAGG